CTGAATTTCAAGGGCTTTATTTTCCCTATGGGCACACTGCCCAATTCATAGCCAATTCATTGGAGAGTGGAGATTTCCAAAGGAGAGCTTGCTCCTTAGCCTTACTAATTCCCATTTTGCTCTTCATATAGTGCCATACATTCCAAGTCTGTCATCTTCTGTGTCCTGTGGAATCTTCACCTCTCCCCATTTTCGGCTGGGGAGCTTATGCGTTGTTAACATACAACCCACACCTGCACCTCTCCTTTGATTTAGAAAGCAGTTGTTAATTTGCTTGGCTGATCCCTTTTTCTTGGGGACTTACAATTTATCATTCCAGCTTTGGAACCATTGGGAAAAAGTGGTCTAGAAGATTCCCTCTTTTGGACTGCCTGAACTTTGTTTGCCATTGCCACGCCCCCAAGCACCGGATCGCCATAGTCACGCCCCCCTGTTTGTTAGTCCGTCCTGATGCTCTTCATCTCCTCCCCTGATGTCCTTCTCCACTTGCTTCTGGATGATACCATCTGCATAGGGTCCTGAACTACGCTTCGCAGGAGCCTGGACCGGCTCCTGTTGCACTTCAACTGCTCTGGTGTAGTTCTGCTCCTAGGTGCCAGCCACATGTGAGGAGTGAAGCTCCCAGGCTTGTGCTTAGATCTTGACTGAAAATGGGATGTTCTTTCTCTGCTCCAGTGGGTTGTTAAAATTTCCCCTGTAATGCCAGGACTGAGAGCAGCCACTCGTGGAGTGTTTTAATAAACCCTCAACTCGGCAGTGCAGTATACTAACTGCTGGGCTTCTTGATCAATAGGGTGGGCAGGCCCATCGATGAACAGCACAGTGAGCAAAAAGCTTTGCATTGTTAGAGCAGACACTGTATTTGGCTTAAGTCAGACTAAAGTGGTGGAGGGAGTTCTCTTTGAAAGCATGGTTCCAAATCCATTATTCTTCTTGTAGGTTACAGCTGCAGTGAAGAATCCTTTATCCATTTGTGGTCCAAATTGAAGGTGACATTCCAAAAAAAATATTTCCCCTGTTAACACGTTCTTCTGTAACCCATTTATACCGAAGTGGGCATTTATCATTTCTCTCCTTTGTGTCATACTCACTAGGCTGCAGAACCTTTTTTTTAACTTTTTGGGAGACAAATCAAAAAATCTTTGTCATGGATGATGGAAGGAGACTACAGTCCCAAAGCACCTGACCTCATTTTAAAAAACAAAATTAAACATTTGCTGGCCCACATATTTTTGAGCCTCGTATAACACTGAGGCCTCAGCAGAACACTTAGCTGATGCACTTTAATGGCTGTGATGTTAGTCATGCAGTGTCACAGAGGACAGACCTGTCCTCAAATGCAATAAGAGATTGAAGAACACTTGGCCCTGGTGGCACAACTCATTTTTCTTCATGTGGCTTCCAGCTAGGGGTGTTAAGATAACTAGTCACTTACCATGAAAGTTCTCGGATAATGAGGCCTTTGTTTGTCTCCGCCATTAACCTTAAGTCTTTAAAATCTCTTCTGAATGCATTTCTTCTTACATAAAGACACTTAATTGGTAGCTTTCCATGTTCAATAATGTAATGTAATGGATGGGGAGTTAACATATACTTCTGGTTTATAATTATTTTGATAGTTATTGTGAGTATTTTTGTTTCTCAGTGTCCTCATTGGCACAGGAGGCTACCCCTCACTTGTGTAAAAATATTCAGTTCCTTTTGGTTCCGCTCGCTCAGTTTGTTTCTGACGAGGCTAATATTAAGTACGAGAGATATAACTAAGAAAGAGCTGTACTGATGCCTTTAGTTTTTACAAAATTTGTCTCAATTTTATTTATTTTTGTGAGGTGCTGACTGGAGTCCTGTAATCGATTAAAAGGTCTTTGTAAAGCCATGTTTGTAGCTTGTATAGCATATGCATATTTTCTCTGATTACCGGTGTCGATTAGGCTACTGTTGAGGTATAGAGCTAGCCCGTTTCGAACGGTGAGGACAGCCTGGTCCTTGTGTGGGCCGCAGAAGTTTTTAGGGTTGGTCATGTGGGCTGTGAGCTGTAATAGGTTGGGAACCTCTGCTCTAGATTATAGACCCTTTTCCACTAGCCCTGTTAGCCCTTGCGTTCAGAAACAGTTTTTGAGAATCCAGAGCTTCCCTGTTATATATTTTAAGATATTTTGCAATATTTATTTATACAAGAAACAGTAAAAGAGACCAAAGGTCTGAAGTACTTTTAAAGTACTTTTCTACAAAATAGTTAAGTTGCTAAAGTGATGTGGCACCACCCATCAATAACTACTTTAGCTATAATTACCCCACTCCTAACAAGTCTCCATATAATAACCATCAAACTACTATTTTTACAAACTGCTCAAAACTACTCGCCCCAAATACCTCTAACATTATTGATTCAATCATTGTTTATTAGACATCAGGATAAACTATTTCCAAGCAAATCTGAGGCTGCATGTTAGGTTGCCTGTAGTGGCAGGGAAATGGTTATTAGAGCCCTTCCATGGTACAACCTGTCATTATCCTAACCCTCCATAGACATCTGAGACAAATCCCTTCTCTAGCGCTTATTACTAGATATTATCATAGGTG